AGTCCCATAATATTCCTTTTCCTGTCTCTTGCTTTCATTCACCACCCCCTTCTTCTTGAACATCCACCTACCCGAGAGACATCATAGCAGTAATCCTACCATATTTAAAGCACTGGAATTATCACCACAGGAATATAAATAAAATTTTAAGCCACGTGATGTTGTATGCCTGTAATCCTAGCACTCAGGAGGCTGAGATAGAAGGAAACTTAGGAGTTCAAGGCCAGCCTGAACTGCATAGCAAGACCCTGTCTTGAAAAGACGATAAATAAACATAAAATTTTAAGTCAGGTACACTGTTATAGTCCCAGCACTTGACAGACTCAGATGAGAGCACCCTTTGAGTCTGAGTTGAAGACCAGCTTGGACAACACAGCCTCCATCTAAAAAAAAAGGTTGAGCATGGTAGTACACCATGGGAGGCTGAGACAGGAGGATTCCAAGTTTGAACCCAGCCCAGGCAACTCAGCAACTCTATCTCAAGATGCAAAATAAGGGGCCAGGGAGATGGCTCAGTAGAATAAGTGCTTGCCTGGCAAGCGCAAGGGTCTGAGTTCAATCCCCGGTTCCAAAAAAAAAAAAAAAAAAAGATACAAAATAAAAAAGGTTCTAGGATTTAGCTAAGTGTGAAGGCTTTGAGTCATTTTCCAGCACCAAAAGCCCCACAAAAACCTGTAGTCACTGATTTTGAAACCCCAGAAAAAGAGATGAAAAAGCAAGGTACAGACCAGTGGCAGTGCCAAGAGGACTGTTTAAGTGGAGAAGTTTAATTTCCATAAGCACCCTCAGTTATTTCCTATATTTACCCCAAAACTTCAGCTTGAAGACAAGTCTCTATACAGAAATTCTGATAGAGACAATTTCACATAGCACCACTGGTCCCACATCAGTTCTTCTGTATTATGCATAATCAAGATCTTTTCAATAAATACATGGTCTAAGGCTCTGAATTTGACCTCTTTCTTATTCCTGGATTCCAGGATCATGTGTGCTCAGTACTGCATCTCCTTTGCTGATGTTGAAAAAGCTCATGTCAACATTCGAGATTATATACACCTCACACCAGTGCTAACAAGCTCCATTTTGAATCAAGTAGCAGGGCGCAATCTTTTCTTCAAATGTGAACTCTTCCAGAAAACTGGATCTTTTAAGGTAAAAATCCTTTTGGTTACTGTATTCAAATATGTTTGTTTTCCCTAACATGTAGTTCTGACTCTTCTGGCCACCCATGAGATAAAGATAAGAATAACTTTTTTTATAGTTCAAAGGTTAGAGTATGTTCAAGTCCTAGTTACTTCAGTGTTGACAAGCTACTTTTATACATGCCCAAAATTGTTTATAATCATATATCGATAATTCATATATATATATATATATATACATATATATATATATATATACACACACACATATATATGTATTTATTGCCCAAATTAGGATATTTGACAATCAGAAAGAGAACTAATGATTAAAGCTAGACAATGATGTAGGCCTGATGGCACACACCTAGAATCTCAGCTACTTTGGAGTATAAGTAGGATTGTTTGAGCCAATTCAGGGCCAACTAGGCAAGTTGAGACCTTGTCTCTAAAAAGAGAGGAAGGTTAGGAGTGATGCTCAATAGTGCAGCACTTGCCAAGCATGCACTGAAGCTCTGGATTCAAACCCCAGGACCATAAAACAAAAAAAACCTTCCATCACAGTAGGCATCAACCAGCACTATTGCTGGCAAAATGGAGAATATTTAACCTGTTATGCACAGCTTTTGCTACACATTGATCTTCTGAATATAGAAGAGCTAAATTTAGCTAAACTTTCACATAATACTTTTTAATTAAAATATTTCAGTGCCTTTTACACATAAAGGTAGACTTGTAATCCAGGCAAGGTACACTCTGGTAGACTGAAACAGGATCTTAAGTTTGAGCCCAACTTGGGCAACTGGGTGACTTTGCGACACTCTCAAAAGGAAAAAAAAGCTAGGGATGTAGCCCTTTGTTCAGTCCCCAGTGCACGCACACACGTGCACACACACACACACACACACACACACACACACTTCTATTTGTGAACTTGGTCAGCAAAATCTTCTGACCAATTAGTTAAGCCTAAAATTCCTTCAGGGAAACCTGAACTAAAAGATTCATTCCCAGCCAATGAGAGTTTTTTATTTTATTTA